CAAAGATCCGCGCAAGCACATTCGAACTCCTCCTACGAGAAAAGATGAGGTTGGAAAGAGGCGAAGCACTTAAACCCGATACCAAGATGCTCATCGAAAAGATGACCGAGGAGGTTCGAAAGACACACGAAATGGAACGAGATGTTATGAAGGCGTTTCAAAGTTTTCGGCGCGATGACGGTTTCCAACGACCTCGATCACCAGTGCGAAGGGAACATCAGAGATCACGAGAGTATTCACATGAACGAAATTACGACTCTCGAAATGAAAGGTCAAGGGAACGTTCCCGCGAACGAACTCGTGACTATCATAACGAAAGAGATGATAGATCACGCTCGCGAGATCACGATTACCGAGGCGGCAGATCATGGGTGCGACACGGAGATCAAGTAATCGAAACCAGCGCACATCGTCGCCATCAACCCACTGACAAACGACGAGATGAACCGCGTCAAGATGAAATGCGTCGAGATGAACCTCGTCAACAGATACCGATGGGAGTTGGTTTCTGTCATCCGAAAGCCAGAGGATTCACACCGGAACGACGAGAAGGGATCTTAACGGGACCCGCCAGAAGCCGCAGTCCATACGACAAGGGATGGCAGGATGATATGAATTACTTCGCGGGTTTCCCGATCAACCATAAACGAACTTCGAGTGGAGAACGCGACGATACTCCACCGAAACAGCCGAAAGTTAAATCGATGGTTCACATGGTCGAGCCATTAGTGGTAACGATGGATGAAGATGAGCCAATGGAATTGTCATCTGAGAGCATCATCCATAAACGGAACGTGGTACTAGATCGCGACCTTGAACCATCGACATCAGCCAGTACGGCGCGACGTGAGCAGGAAGGCCCTCACGAATCGCAGAATCGCCGGCAAGAACCGCAGAACCGACATCAACCAGAACGTCAACAGGAACGCCCTGAACGACGACGCGAAGATGGTCACCGAAGAGATCACTCGCGTTTTGACAATTCACGACGAAGGTTGATCAGCAAAATGTATGACATGGATGATATCGAAACCCAAAGAGCGGAAATCTGTCGCTACTTTGGATTGGAAATTGAATCGGAGCAGTCAGTGATGATACATGCGCAGCTCCACGATCTACGCGAGTTTCTACGGGACTCAAATTATGAAACGGATCTCAAAGAGAGTAACCTCGGTCGCCTGGAGATCACCACCGAATCTGCGATGGTGTGTTATACACCAATCCGACAATGTGGCTTACCGAGTCTCCTCGACCTGAGCTTATGGGAAGTCCCGTTGGATACAATCGACAATACGGGATTTACACAGTTCCACTACCAAGAGATCAAAGAGCGAAGTACATATGTGGCACAATTTGTGCTACTTAACGTGAACCCGGCATTCAAGATACTTGCGGCACAAGCAGCCATTGGACTGACGGTTGACCCTACCGATTATAAATCTCGAGTTTTCGGTCAGAAGGTCTTTGCTGCGAGACTGGGCCATTTTCCGACACAGAATCAGCTATTTTCGAACTTTACGAAGGGGGAAGTTCCGCCTGTGTACCGGGAGAAGGTTGCTAAATTAGGAATGCTGTCGAGACATCAGGGGATCGCACGTAAAGCGAAGGACGGATTGGCGATCTGCAAAAAGCGATTTGATGATTGTAACCTCCATGAAATACACGAAGCACAGTACCAGGAACGGCTCAATCGAATCCGAGATACTATGGATACGCCGTATATCGAACCGCAGGATCGAGTCCATCAGTACAATCGAGGACACCTGGCTGAAGGAACGGGACCGAAACAACCGACATCGCACGACAAGGAAAGGTCGCGGTCCACGAAACATCGTTTTACGAGTTCAAGCGGACGAGGACGTACCGGCCGGATCAGCTGCACCAGTTGATCGGACTTCCGACAGAAATCAGCCGGGCTCAACTCGGAAACGTCCACCGCGAGACAGAGACGATGGAGATGGGTCGAACGAGATGATGAATCAGTAAAAACCGATCTGATAGGAGTTGTTACGGCTTATGTCGGCATCCCTATATATCGACTCATCTTAGTTCAGAGTAGCTACGGTACACTCGGCCGGCTCTCTAAATAAGGCAGAAGAGATGGATTGTGCGACGCAATGAACTTTACCAGGGAGGCAAGCTGAGATGAGCTTGAAAGCCGATTCAAAATTGGCTAAGTTCCTCCATGACCTATGCTGAATTAACCTTACCAGATGATGTCGCACATCCATGATCAGAAAGATGATCTTACTAGGGAGGAAGCGAACTTCGCTTGTCTACATGATGTCCCTCCATGACTCAAACGGATCTCATTATGAAGTCGTACAATTGATACGCATCTATTCCAAAGCTGAAGCAGTATTCCTAAGACGTACATTCGATACGCACCTTATTCCTACAAGCGGATGTGATGAAAGTCGCACGAAGATGCGCAAAGATGCTCAAGCGGAGCGAAGTTGCTCAAAATGGAGCGGAATGGGCCCAAGATGCGGTAAACGGTGGACAGGACCTGTGACCTATGCCAGTCAATGGAGGATCCTAGTCTACATGTTTCATTTAACCACTTTTGTTGATCTGTTTTAACTGTTGATCTGTTTATATGGAATAGTATTTTTATACAGATCTCTTTAATTCACATTGTGCATTTGGAATCATGTGATAAGAAGGATTAAGAGAATTTGATGTTTTTTTTACGAGAGCGCGCACAGACCACCGATCGGAGCGAGATGGAATGGAATTAGCTTCGACGGAGCTCAGCCTCCCACCCAGAGGCATGTGAGGCGATGGCTCCTCTGCGTCCACCTTAGTGACGCTACTGGAGTTGGGGGAGTGCTTCGTTGCACTACGCATGGGGATTCCCCATGGAATTACCGTCTGTGGCGTGGCTCTCTTCTGATTGGCTGACGGCTGCTGTTCACTGTGTTCACTATGCGCCGTGCAGTTTACATGTGAGATATTTGGTAGACGTTAGCTCACCGAGCATTGAACGTCAGTGTGTTGGTTTTCACGATAGAGAACGCTAATAAAGTGTACTACGTAGACTGGATATCGTGCGTTGTGCTTTTCTTCCCTAAAACGTCACGTATTACACTCCACGGAGTCCTGTCAGTCTGGGCTACCGTCCTGGACTCTTTCACAGTCCACGGTGATATCTCATTGGTTGACGGCTACAGCCGTTCATTGTGTTCACTATGTGTGATGCATTTAGCATTGCCGAGAGCAGATGGAATGGGGCTCTCTGAGCGGTCTGAACGTCAGTGTGTTTTGGTTCTCAATCGAAGACGCTAATAAAGTGTACAACGTTAGCTGGATATCGTGCGTTGCGCATTTATCCCTAGGGACGTTACGTTTTACACTCCACAGAGTCCTGTCAGTCTGGGCTTCTGTCCTGGACTCTTATCCAGTCCACGGTTATACTGTATTCATGTGGTATTCTCCGCTTCCGCTACAGTATTATGATTTCACTGTTCTCTGATAACGAGCCGGTATTCCTACGAATTCCGTCTGTATTCTTATCGTATTAACAAATTGTTTATTACTTAGCTTTGATGTAGGGCTGCAGTCTTCTTTAGCGTATCGAGGTATTCTCATGTAATCCGCAAGTATTCTGCCGAAATCAAGGCGTATCCTGATTTTCTACTTAAGAATCCCAAGAATACATGGGGCATACGGGCGGAATACAGGAGAATACGGGAGAACACTAAAAAGACAACAGTCATGGCTAAATGCTAGATAACGGAAAAAACCTCGCGAATACAGTAGGAATACAGGTGGAATACGGATGGACTACTTGGGAAAACTGCTGAAGACTAAAGGTTACCTTAGTCACAGAGGCGAGATTGATATGCATGCGGAGTGTGCCCGTATTCTCACGTATAAGGCCTGTATTCCTAAGGTATTCCCTAACTCGCCTATTTCGCCTCTATGACTGCAGTTATCTGGCAGCATATTAGATCATTCCCACGTATCGGCTTGTGTTCACCACGTATTCCCTACTGTCTACTGTAGTTAGAAACCTAAGAAGCTTAATAACCGAAGAATACATTGTTAACACGGACAGCATACGGGTAGAATACGCTGGAAATCCTGGAATAAGGTAATACAACAGAGGAAGACCTACAAGTAGTCAGACCGACTCAGACGTACTTGGAAAAGCAAAATGTTATAATGGAGAATACAACGTGAATACAGTACCCTCGTAAGGCACATAGTTTTTACGCGTCACCGCACGACGCTGGGTTACAGACTTGCAGCTGCTAACGTCGCGAATGGACGTAAAACAACCTGGAACCGAAGGTTCCATATGGAACCGGAGCCGGACGGAACACAGACTGTGCAATCTGAAATAGGCTAATATTACTAGACGACAGGAATACGCATACGGGCAAGTACGAATACTATGATAAGCAGAGAAGTTTTGAGTAAATTTGACACAGCACAGTTGACAAACTGACAGTGAAACTGGAATTTTTCCAGCCCTCCGCTAAGTATCCTATAAAATTACTATTTTGACTGCGCAAAACATTTTTCATCATCGTTTAAACTTGGATAAGGAAATTGGCAGTGAATGTGGAACGACATCTAATTTACGCTATTATGGTTGATGTATTATGGTTAATGATGTGATCCACAAATCGGCAATAGAAACCCGCTGCGCAGTGTTCAAGCAAAGCCCAAGCATAATGAATGCTTGTTACACTTTATATAATAGTCTTTCCGCTGTTTATTCGTACGTATACACTAAGCTACCAGCCCAATTTTGCACAATCACAGTTCAAAAAACCAAGCAGAATGAATACTCTCCAATGACTGAACAGCGGGCCGTGCAGATGACATTGTTGACTAGCAAGTTTTCATTGCCGATTCTCTGCGTACAGGATTCTAACCGTCTAAAGCAAAGCGTTATTTTAATATTCAGATTTTTTAACGATCTTTTAAAGTACCTCTTCATAACCGCCTTGCATTTATACATTAACACTCATCAATCCTTCGACGTCAATATGGTGCTGGAACCGGGCACGGTCCATGAGAAGACGGTTGCGGATATTCGCCGATGCATTGTAAAGACCATCAGCATCCAAACTGCTATCGTTGTCGGCGTCGGGGTTGGCATCTTCGTCCTGCCGTTCACCGTACTGAGTAAGTTGATCCAGTTTAGCGTGTATGCTTAGCTTATGCTTCGTTAATTGATTGATTGGTACGTCGCGGGTCTGTCCCAGCGCATACAATGTAAAAAACGCGTTTTTATTCGATTCTCCTGTGCTGGCCTCACGGGGAGGTTCTTTTAATACCGAACTGAAGCTGCTAGACCGTTTCCATTCAACATTTCGAATTGCTTTTTCAGGGAGAAATACAGAGGCAGATTTTGACAATCTAGGCTGGAAGTTGGAAGTGGACTTAACAAGTAAGGTCAACAATACGTACGAAAAACAATTGCGTAAAGCAGATGAATCCAGTCTAATACGATTCTTCACATTGCGTCTAACTATTCTGACCAGCTTACCATGAGAGTAGCATGACTGCCGCACATAACACATTTATCGGAAGCTGGCCAAGCTACAAAGCTTTTCCACACCTGACTTTAATTTATGCTGATGTATAGCAATATCCAGTGAAATAGTCTCGTGAAATATCTAGTGAATCCTTGTAGCCAACCACAGCGGAATGAATATTTTTGGTTGTTTCATAATTATGGGACGACTTACTGAACTGGGTCGTCGCAAAGGTCAACCGCATGCGATCAGTCCTACGAGAATGACGACCAACAAAACTAATAAAACCTAGAAAAGCCTAGGAAAACCCTACGAAAACTAAGACGGTTTAGCAGAACCTTAGCTAACTTCGGGACTGGTCGGCTCGTCCCAGGTCCTGTATGAAAACGGTACACCTAAAACTCAAGTACTTTAAAATAGCCGGATCATCTTCCGGTAAAGCACCAGCTGACGCTACGGATACTGAGGACAAGCTGGCTAGAACAAGCAGTAACAAACATGACAAACCGATTAGACAGCATAACTTTTCTTTTAACGATGTATATTTCCTCCGTTATTTCGTAGCCGACGATTCCACACCGATCAGTCTGTACGCTATCAGCGTTATCCTCATCTTGACTTCCGTCGTCGGCATCTTGAGCGCTATCCGTGCCCACACCATCGCACCGACGGACATCGTCTTCCCGACACGGGCGGACCCGACCGAAGCGCTCTCTGTCGTGGAAATGATGGCAGCCCAACGGTACCCCATGGTGTACGCCTTCCCCAGTACAACTACGCACTGTTGGGGGTGCTGGCCGCGGCGTGAGCACCGTTCCGGGCGATATTCAGCGCGGCCATGGAGCCAAAATCCTGTGGCCATTAATTGCTTTCGGAGCCGGCTTCTTCCTGCTAGTGGCTTTTGTTATCGATAGTTTTGTCGCGGCGGATCGTTACGCTGCGGAACTGCAGTCACGACGGGAATGGCTCGAGGATGAAGAACTGCGACGCTCCTGGCAATGAGAACGGGACGCCAGTGTCGAACGCAGTGTACCTGCCTGCGACCGGCAGCGTTCGCAGAGCGGACGCTGCAGGTGCTTCTGCGTAGTAATCCAACCGGGTTGGCCATTTGGTGATTTTTTTGTTCCTGATATAAGTCTGCTTGTCTGCGCTTTGCTCACATTGATTTAAGCGCAATGTATTGCATCAGAGCGCGCTCCCCGTCATATTCTTTCTCGGTGGGCGGTTACTACCCCTGAGTCCGCACCGGCAGTTCATGCAGTAGACATCTGATTGTGTCGATCGAATTGCCGGGGACTGTGCGAATTATTCTGCGAAATAATAAAGCAGCGCTTGGTTTCTCTGCCACCACTTAAACACGTCGATAACTGAAGTCTTATGTTCTTCTGTTCGCACTGGCGTCCCTGGCAGCAAGCCTACCCGTATGGTCGTTTAAGTGAAACGCTATGATAAATCGATGAGCAATGGTCGTTTAAGTGGAACACCTTAAATATTAAAGTCTACAAACCGATTCTCTTCCAATTTTTTTCTTTATCCGTTTAAAGAGAATGTATCCTTTACATAGTACTTACAAATTGTAAAAACCTTGAGCCGTTTTTTTTGCCTTTGCGGCGTAAAGAAATCAGTGACGAAAGCGCTTTAGCCACGCCACATGAGTCACTACACCACACCCGGGTAAATTACAGTAACAGCCACACGTGCGCGGCTGCGCCTTAAAATTTGGCTTGAATTTTTTTCTAATGCTAATGTCTTTAAAACTGAAATCGATTTTGCTTTTACGTCTCTACGTTAACTTCGTAAACGGCGATGGCGCAGTTACTTTCAAGTTGTTCCACTTAAACGACCATCGGTCACTGGCTTATCACTGCGTGCCGATCATACGAGTAGGTGATACAGGGGTAAGTATATGAATTGTTAATTATTTATGTCTTGACTGCAAGCTGGCAGTAACGTCGCAGTCGGCATTGACAAAACAGAAGCCGACACACAAAATGGAACAATGCGACCGGTGCGCTTCATGCACACTGTATAGTGTATACGCATGTATGTACAGTACCTGTACATAGACGGCTGGTTTTTTTTGTATTGCACACTCAGTATACCGCATACAACATTCACACCGCAAAAAAAACTCAGTTTCTGATTTGAACAATCTCCGATGATCGCACCAGCCTACATAATCCGGAGAAGCGCTGCAGGCAAAATAGCCATTTCACTGCACACTCTTTGGCAGGCAAAATGGCCATTTCACTGCACACTCTTTGGTCTTGAGCGTAAATTTTAGTACGCATGTAGTGCACGAAACAAACGGCTTTTCAGTATCTGAAATTATAACAACATAATAATAATAATTATAATATGTACTGCAATCACGTGTAAGCCGCACTGTCCATATTATGGAGCATATACGTATTCCACATTATTCTGCCAGCGCTCATATTACAGCGCAACTCCACGGGACAGCATCATGGGAACAGCGCAACACAGCCATCCCCGATGAGACGCCGGTCGCCGACATCCGCCGGCGAATGCTGCTGGCCATCGCCATCCAGACCGGGATCATTGTCAGCGTCGGCATTCTCATCGTCGTTCTGGCGCCCATCGTTTTGCGTAAGTTGAGCAGAAAAAATGAAAAAAAAGCGCGTGAAACGAGCGCACTGAATATTTACTTACCGCTACTGAACCAATTGGCCCAGGTGTTCTTAGCACCAGATTCGTGTACATCCATGAAAACTTTCGCTGTCGTGCTTGCCCTAACACTTTTTTTGCTTCGCTTTGTGATATTTTGTAGAAATGATTTCCATGGGCGTGGAAACCGCTTGTGAGCGCAACATTCGGTCGGAGTTATGGCAGCAAGAAAATTCCAAAAAGTTTAAATGCGTTCAGCTGTATGTACCAAAAGTCAGATTGTAAACCGACCTTCTTCAAATTTTGCATATAGATGCACGTAAGTATAAAGATCGTTTTTTCACCGTTCGAGAGTTATGGCTGCAAAATTACTCCATTTGTTTTCAATTTTAAAATGAATTACAAGATTTTCGAAATTCTTTTTGATTTGAAAAAATGGTGTAACTTGCAGCCATAACTCTCGAACTCTGGTTTGATGAAAAACGATCTTTACACTTACGTGCATTTATGTATGTGCAAAATTTGAAGAAGGTCGGTTGATAATGAGACTTTTGGTACACCTGAGTGCATATAATATAACTTTTGGAATTTTTGTTGGCAGCCATAACTCCCGAACCGAAAGTTGCGCGCACAAACGGTTTTCACGCCCATCATCGGCCCATGTACTCTGCATACGGGTACAAGTAATTTGGCTACCAAATGTCATAAAGCAATGCAAATAAGTGTTTGGGAAAGGCGAAAGCTTTCGTGGATGTACACGATCCTCATGCTATGTACTGTATACCTGCCTAAATCCCTTAACAGCTCTGTGCTTTTTAGCCATGGCATCCGTTCCCATCAGCCTGTACCTCATCGGCGGCGTTCTTATCCTGACGCTCTTCGTTAGCGCACTAAGCGCCTATCGTGTCCACGCCATAAAGTCCATCGGCGGCTTCCAAGCCCCCGCCGACCCGACCGAAGCCCTGTCGGTCGTAGAGATGCAGGAAGCCAAGCAGTTTCCCGTGTTGTACGCCTTCCGCCACTACAACTACGCGCTGTTGGGCGTGCTGAGCGGCAGCTTGATCGGTGTTGTCAGCCAAATCGTGAGAGATCTCCAGCACGGCCAGGTGGCGAATATACAGTGGCCCCTCCTCGCCTTCGGTGCCGGGTTCATCCTGCTGGCGACCTGTAATACCTACAATTTTGTCGCGACGGAGGGCTACGCTAAAGAGCTCCAGGCGAAACGCCGGGATTTCTTCTCCTTCGAGGAGATACGCCGCCGACAGCTTAAACGGAGTTCCGCCGCCGGGGCGCCGGTGACGTTCAACCCTTTACCTGCGCATCTTCCGGTTTCTGCCCCCGAAGAGACGCTGCAGACCGTTCTTCGAAATAAGTAAATGCTCAGGCCCGTCCAATGATTTTTGAAATTTTTAATGTTGATCGTAAGCTCTGTAAGTCAGTCTGTAAGTTGGGCTTTATATAAAACTGTTGACTAAGTTATTAAAGATTTAAACGAATTTAAATTGCAATGCCACTGAATTATTTCATGTGAAATCCTTTTTTATTTTTTTTTTTAAATAAGGTATTGCACGCGTGGCATGTGTCACTACAAAAATGTATTAATACAAGTACGAGTGCTGCATTAGTATTATGGGCGGTCTACTGTGTATAATATATATCCATATCGAATTGAATCACTAATAACAGAAATTATTGTTAGAACATTATGATCGACGTGCTTGTTGCGTATGGCAGTGACACTGACGTATAAATCGGCGTTATGAAACCGGTAATAAACCAATTCGTAATTCGTACTTTTCTAGCAAAGTTTTTTTTGCGTATACGGCGTAACAGGCTTATAATACTGGCTAAACTATAAAACCCACAGCTCAAAAAACCGTTTCAGCACGAACTTTCCTGATTAAGTTTTAAAATAATAGTTATTTATTAAACAAGTTTTTAAGCGTGTATTACATGGGCACTTTGATTATTATGTGTGATGCTGATGTGTGTTTTCTTCTTGTTGGACCTACGATGTCATCTGCAACGCCGGCTTGATACCACTTGTGATTTTTTCTAACGACGACAGCTGCAAAGACAAAAATGATACTGACATCATGCTTTCTGTGCGAGCTACCGCACTGGAACCGCTGTATAAAATCGTTGTATTAAAATATGAGCAGTTAAACTTATTTAGTGACAGGAAAAAACAATAATCGCACCTGCTTAGAACTGGGAAGCGGTGTTTGTCACTGTATGTAATCAACGGGCAGTACTCGTATTCGTGTCGCTTCTCGTACACGCACTCTGTTTGTTTACTTTGAAGATTGCTTCAAAACGTACTTTAACGTACTTTAACAATTTCCTAGCCGTATCGTGCTGTATCGGTAACGGTAGCCTTATCGATGCGCTTATACGAACAGTAGACGTACTAGTGTACGTGAGCGACGGTTCTTCCGCACTCCGCAGGCAAATGCGCAATAAAGAGCGGCTACTAATCAAGAAAAACTCCTGAAGTAATTTGAGGATATCGTGCAGACCGTGCCGCTGCCGCATTTGGCTGTGCATTACTACTGTAGCGGCTCGATTAAGTGGCACCACAGAGTTTTTCGTTGCAGGGGCTATTTTGTTTTGGGACAACTAAGACGGTTTAATTAACAAAACGCTTGCCGACTTCATGGCGGGTCGACATAGTGTCTGCTCGGCTAAGTGACGGGTTCACTTTGTCTGGCCATCCACTGGATGGCATCCAGTGATCTGGAATTTCACTCATTCTGGCAGTTACCAACATTATAATCATAAGTGATTTCGTGAGGTTGTATGATGTATCCTGTTCCGACTTGCAGTAGGAACAGGATCCCCTTTTCCTCCTCTTGTTACGTTATAAACTCCACTAGCGTGACGGGCTGCCCCTGGCACTGTATGTAGCTAAGTCTAACGTAGAAATCCCGACGTGGATTTTGAGACTTTATTTAGGAAACACAATTCAAGTGACTGCTAGATGACTTCCAGTGGACTAAACCAGAGTGGACCATCTAGCATTGGCAAGCTTGGCGCTTATATAGCCACATTCGGGTTAACATCCTCATTAAGAAACTTCTGGAAACTTTCAAAGCCAAAGATCACTCAATTAAGAACATCATAACAAGAGATACAGAGAAGGCTGGAATTCTGTCGATTCTGGTCTTATCAACTTACGCCCAAATATAGAACTAATTGATATTCTCTCAGTTCTCTTTGTGGCTAATGATTTTGTTTACGCCAGGCTGTATCTTAAAATAGCTCACACGGGGCTGTGTGGCTGGTAACACTCTCCAGATGAAGTATACTACATGCTTTAGAAAAAGCCGGACCGTCTTCCACCAAATTAATAAACCTTCTGTTATGCGCAGGATATACATTGAAGACAAGCCATTTAAAACAGCCAGTAACAACGTAACTTCCATTTTAAAGCTCTTCTACGCCTAATGCCGCTCTAGACTGTACTTATTAATTCCTGGTCGACGATTCCGCGCCGATCAATGACGTCGAAGTCTGCATTTAAAAAGAAGCAGTCGACAAACGAAATGGAACTATACGGTTGATGCGCTGCATGTGCACTTCATATGCATGTACCTGTGCACATTAGGTTGGCTGTTTTCACATTTCGCACTTACCATGCCGACTAGAATATCCACGCCGCAAAAAAATCCGTTTCAGAAATTAACAATGTCCGATGATATCATCAGCCTAAATAACATCTGCACGCGTATATGATATACGCGTGCAGATGTTACTTAGGCTGATATACGTTACATATATCCAAAGGAGCGCTGCAGGCCATACTGTTGACTAGCAGTAACAATCATTTCGCTGCGTTATTGTTGAGCGTACATTTCTATGAGCATTTCGTGCAAGCAGCCCACCGTTAATCAGTACTCCAAGCTGTAAACAATTTTATAACAGAACCGCGGTTGTGCTGACGATATTGTGGACTAACAAGCTTTTCGCGAGTATACAGAACTTCAGCGTACATTTCTGCAGACAGTACTGCAGGAAGAAAACAATTTTTATTATTCGAATTTTCTAACGATCTGGTGTCCGGAACCACGTTTACGCCGCGTTGTCCCTATGGAGCAGTTGACAGTGACGGTTACACAGCATGAGTCTGGCAGCGGCCATGCGATATGGGCACCGGCCACCATAGTCAGCCAGGATCCGATAAATGAGACCCAGCCTGACCCAGCCGTCGAGGGTGTCCGCCGGCGCATACTGCTGACCATCGCCATCCAGACCGTCATCATTGTCACCGTCGGCATTCTTATCGTCGCTCTGGCGCCCACTGTCTTGCGTACGTAAAGCAACACTTAAAAAACGAGTCCGTAAAGGCGATACTAACCGTTACTTTTATACTCTTTAACAAGACAATATACACTCTTCCCCCATTAGAAAGCTACGGGTACAGCGTTGGCGTTTGGCGCAGACAGGAAAAACCGGTTTGAAAATTAGCACGAAGCGTTAGTACCGTACAGCTGCCTATTATGTACGTGCACAGACAGCCATGACTATTAGTATAATAGCGAAGTATGGTGAAGCATTCAGACAACACACAGCTCTCTGCTTTTCAGCCGTGGCGTCCGTTCCGGTCAGCGTGTACCTCATCGGCGGCGTTCTCATCCTGACATCCCTCGTCAGCGCACTGAGCGCCTATCGTGTCTACACCATCCAATCCATCGGCGACTCCCACACCTCCGCCGACCTGATCGAAGCCCTGTCGTCCATGAAGGTGCAGGATGCCAAGCGGTTCCCCGTGCTGTACGCTTTCCGCCACTACAACTACGCGCTATTGGGCGAGCTGGGCGGCAGCGTGATCGGTGTCGGCAGCGAAATCCCGGGGGATCTTCAGAGCGGCCAAGTGGCCAGTATTAAGTGGCCGCTCATCGCGTTCGGTGCCGCGTTCGTCCTACTGGTGGCCTGTATTATCTATAATTTTGTCGCGGCGGACGGCTACGCAAAGGAACTCCAGGCGAAACGCCGGGATTTCTTTTCCTTCGAGGAAATGCACCGCCGACAGATGGAGCAAGGCGCTGCCGGGGCGCCGGTTACATTCGAACCTTTACCGGCGCATCTTCCTGTGTCTTCCCCGGAGGAGACACTGCAGACCGTTCTTCGTAATAATTAAATGTTCAGGACCGTCCAATGATCTTTGACATTTTTCATTTCACTCACAAGCTTTGTACAGTCCGTAAGTTGGGCTGTATAATAAAACTGTTAATTAATTTCATCAAGGTTTGGTCAGTCATATAATTGCAATTCATGTGGATTATTTTGCGTGAAATCCTTTTTTATTTTTGTTGAACGATGCCGAATGGCGCCATTTGCTGCGGTTGGTTCGCTGTTGGATTTCTTACTTACCTCGGTGCTGATAATTCTCGTGGTTTTCACACAAGCTTGCCTACAAGCTTGTCCCGTAACTTCGTTAAGGTCCAGATAGTACGTATTGTGATGATGCACGAATTACGAGACAAGCTTGTCTGTTGTACCGGCCTCTTGCACTCAAGGCAGATTGTACGCTTGTTACGCAGATGCCCGCTAGATGGGTACATTGTACTGTGGCCGTTAACGCGCATTTTTAAAAAAGCGAAAAAATTCAGACAACATCTGCAGTACTGTTTTTCTTTACAGAGTTTCGTCCACATCACAAAAAGGCGTATCGTGATAGGTATTAGTGTATTACTACGGTACTTCGCTTTTTTTTATATTCCGGTCACTTTGAGTGTATGGTTACATATTCTGGTCACCAGGTAGTTACGGAACGACAAAAGGACGAAACGAAGTTCACAGCAATCACTAATTTTTATAGATACGACTTCCCTCATTAATTATTTGAACGAAAACATAAATAAATTTTTATGAAAAACAGCAAGCTTAAGTACAGTGGAACCTCCCGACCCTGAACACCCTCGGTAAGCAGTTTCTTTCAAACTTTTCTAGCAAAATTTTTTGTATACGACGTTACACGTTTAGCATACCGGCTGAACTATGAAAGCCTTAGTTCAAAATACCGTTTCAACTCAAAGAATCTCCGATGATCGCATCCGCATGCGCTATGCGCAGGTGTATAGAACACGAGCGCTGCAGGCAACTGTTGGCTATACAATACCACTCAGTTTTGCATTCTTTAGTGTGCCAATCCACTTTCACGCACGACTCACAGCGACTGCAACAAGTAAATCGTTTCTTTGTTCTGGAAAGCTTTTGCGATTTTGTAATTTTAACTACCTTAACGTTTGAGCCGCGTTGATCGTGTCCATAACCGGCATCATAGTGTTGCCGTCCACAGAGGTATGGCGCAACAAGCGGGCACCGCACAGGAGAAGACGCTCACCGGTATCCGCCGGCGCATACTGCGGACCATCGCCATCCACACCACGATCATTGTCACCGTCGGCATTATCGTTGTCCTCCTGGCCGCCACCGTATTACCTAAGCTGAACGACACTCGAGCCTGCGAAGCGAGCGTGATTAACCGTTTTATTGCGAGCCGTTCCGTTGCCGCGCAGTGTGCAATGCTGAACGTTCTCTGTAATTGCTTCGCTAGCTGCGCCTCGTAGGCGGCTGTCATAATACTGTCTCTCGCAAAATGTTTGTCGCAGGACTTTCTTCCCATTTGTAACAACCAAATCTTCATATTAATGCACAAATCTATATTCTTTCCAGCCAAAGCTACCGTTCCGCTCGGTCTGTACTTTATCGGTGGCTTCCTTATCCTGACGTCCCTCGTTGGCGCATTAAACATGTATCGTGTCCACACCATAAAGTCGACAGACGCGGTCTTCAACACAGCCAACCCGATAAACGTGCAGTCTTTCGTGGAGAAACAGGAAGCCAAGCGGTTCCCGGGTTGTTCGCCTTCCGTCACTACAACTACGAACTGTGGGGCGTGATGAGCGGCAGTCTGATCGCCGCTCTCAGTGAAATCCCGTCGGAGAATCACGGCAGCCAGATGGCCGATACCAAGTGGCCGCTCATCCGCTTTCGGGGCGGTCTTCTTCTTACTGTTGACGTTTATTATCTACAACCTTGTTGCGGCGGACGGCTACGATAAGGAGCTCCAGTCGAAACGGGAGTTGCTGGAAATGGAAAAAATGCGAAGCTGACAGAGAGAGCGGGACGGTGCGGCGGCACCGGTGACGATCGAAGTCGTGCACGCGCATCTTAATATACCCCCGGGCCGGACGCAACAGATTGCTGAACGTCATACTTAATTAAACACGCAACGGTCTGTCTAGTTCGCGTACGTATACCCTTTCCTGGTTAGGTCGGTATAATAATTATTTATAAAATTAATAGTTCACGAGAGTACGGTATGTGAATTGGCGTTTCGATGATTTTTTGTGATGTCTCCTTTTTTCTCTCGTTGGACCAACAGTGGCCACGCTGTAATCTGCAGCGCCGGCAGAAAATCCGGCTTGATGCCAGTTGCCACTAATTGTAATTTTCCTGATGCCGGCAGCGGAAACTTAGGGTTATTGGCGAAAGCAAACAACAATGATGGCAGCTACTTGTATGCCGTGTGTCGTATACGTGTACTGTACGCGGGCAAATGTCGATTCCCGTACTCGTGATTTCGCACTCACAAGAATATATTTTATGATTTTTTTGATTGTGGTACAAGAATACAGGATATGGTACTGTAAGTTTAAGAATTTTGTGGCTGGTGTTTGCATTGTATGTTGACAACGACGCATGCAACGCTGCAGGAATCAGCATAATTTGCATCTGCACAGCTACCAGCTCGGTACACTGCAATCGCATTGCTCCTTCGGCAGTTCTGCCAGTTTTTTTAGTATTGTCTTTAGCATACCGGACCGACTGTAACAATCAGAGTTGAAGAAACCATTTCGGCAATGGAAGATTGCCGGTGATCGCATCGGCATATAATATACGCAGACGCGCGTATACCCTGAATAGCGCCGCAGGCAGTGGTATTGACTAACAACCACTTCTTTGCGTATTCTCGAATGCTCATTGTCATTTCTACAGGCATTTATTGATTTTTGTGCACGAAGCAGACAGTGAGTGTTTAAGATTCGAGTGCTTTAACGAGCTTGTGAACCACGTTTCCGCTGCGTAGTCGATATGGCGCAGATTACATGTACAGTGACGGTTACACAGCAGTATGTCAGCAGCGTCCATGAAACCGTCCACAGCGGCGCTCATGCGGCGCCGGAACAGGGCTCCACGGCCGCGAAGCCTCTGCAGACGGTCATCGACGATAGTCACGATATCCGCCGCCGCATGGTAATAAGTATCGCCGTCCAGACCTTTATCCTTGTCGCCATCGGCGTGCTCATCGTCGTCCTGGCGCCCACCTTACTGGTAAGCTAGCCAGCAGATCAAAATTGAAACGAGCGAAGCGCGTGTATTTCAGTTTATTAACGTAATATCCCCTGCGAGCTTTCCTATTCGCTTTTTCTTCTTGTTTGTTTTTATGGTTGACCCTCACAATCAGTGGCGGTCGTCATTACTATCCCATTCCTGACGCACCGTTCTGTACCGTAGCCCGTCCAATCCGTCCCGCTCAGCATGTACTTCGTCGGCGGGGTCCTTATCTTCACACTGCTCATCGGCGCATTTTCCGCCTGCCGTGTGCGCACCATCCGGCCCGCCGACATCGTCTTCACGACACCGGCCGACCCCACCCAAGCCCTGTCCGCCGTGGAAATGCAGGAAGCCAAACGATACCCCGTCCTGTTCGCCTTCCGCAGCTACAACTACGGCCTGTTGCTGGTGCTGGCCGGCAATCTGATCAGCGGCATAACCGGAGTGGTCCCGAAAGACATTCAGCTGGGCCACAGTCAAGCAGAGGATATCAAGTGGCCCCTCATTGCGTTCGGCGCGGGGTTTATCGTGCTGGCCATCTTCGTTATTTACAACTTTGTCGCGGCGGACAGCTACGCTAAGGAACTCCAGGCAAAACAGCGGAGTTTCTTTTCCTACGAGGAAATACGGCGCCGGCAGCTGGAGGAGGGCGTCGACGGAGCGAAGATGACGTTGCCCGCGCAGTATGATGTGTCACCGGAGGAGACACTGCAGACCGTTTTGCGCAACAATTAAACGCGCGTTTATTGCGCTCATACACGTTCCTGGTTGCGCTTGTACAGTTAGTAATACAATTATTATTTTATTTTAATAATGTCTCCTACATTGTTTGGGGTTGCTTTTTTTGTTGTTGTAACAATAACGTCGATGATATCATCTGCAGCATCGGCAGCACATCCGGCTTGATGTAGCTCACGGTGTTCTTGGTGACGACAGCTGAGAAAATCAAAGTAATCCTTGCATCATACGTTCTTGCACTGGCAACGACATATGAATCGGCAGCAGCCCAGACTGGTTTGACGACAAAAAAGAGTGCCATTTATACCTTTCTACACAATAATAAATCGCATGCCGTTCCCGTCAATTTGCGGCAATATTTTTTATTACGCATCTAACAAAAATTACACAGCCAGTCAGATTATTTGGTATGATCAGCTTCACTTTTCTGTTGCTGTCCCCTAACTACAGATGTCACTGAAGTTATTTTTTTTAATGACGGCAGGCGCAGAAAACAAAATTAATTCTTTCATCATGCGTGCATGTACGGTACATTGACGTCTGCAACCTGAGTACTTCTATGGCACAGAATCGTTCAGCAACAAAAACAAACAGCAATCATTTGCACAACAATTTAATAAGCCGGTACCGGTCAATATACCGCCACTGTAGACACAGATTACACTTACAAGAACTGTATAGTAAAGTGCAGTTATTTGATCTACATAGTGCACTGTCTTTTTGTCAATACCGTATCGCACTTTATGGTTATCAGCTGCCTTATCAGTACACTTATCCAGACTGTAAGACAGCTACACACCGAATGGTCCATAAGGAAAATACACAGTAACGGCCCATAAACACCAGTGCTTATAAATTCTTTACCGTTGAAGTTATCGTGCATAATCAAACCGCCAACAAATCTCTTCACTGTATTTAATTTTCGCAGTATTTTTTCTTGTTGCAAATCGCACACCTACTGTATTCCACCGGCTGATCGCGTCACAATGACCGCCGTGGATCGCGTCAACACGGACGCGCTGATCGGTAGCGTGCGCTCCAGCATGCTGATCACCATGGGCTCACAGGCGACGCTGGCGCTCATCGCCGGGATTCTCATTCACAGCCTCGCTCCAACCCTGATAGGTAAGAATCCATTACTGGGAAGTTTGCCTCTAATTCAGTGCGCTGAAATTGGTGTTTGCTAGTACACCTGCCAGTGGCCTGGTAAAGTTCATTTGTAAGAGCAGCTCAGTTAGCCTCAGCCTCAGTACAATCTCAAATTCTCAGCACGCGGCTCAGTGTGTGCTCAGACATTTTCTAATACAGTGTACCTGTAGCGCCATATCCAGTTTTAATATCACGGGTTTTCTCACCGTCACACTTTATGCCGTACATGCGAGCTCACGTTACGTGCAGGATGTTGATTGGTTTCCAACAGAGAATCGCTTCGCGCATGAAATGCGACTGTATAATAAATGGGGCGAAAATCCGGGCGTGTTTTCCTAAGTGTCCAACGATTTGACGCATTGACTGACTTGGTGAATTTACAGAAGAGACCATCGCACTGGGCATCTGGTTCCTGGGCGGCCTCATGTACGTGTTCGTCGTGGGCGCGGCCGTCTGGGCCTACCGCCTGCACACCACCCGCCATCTCATCGTCGCCCCACCCTCCGACCTGGACGCCATCCTGCAGTTCGACAGCGGCCAGGACACCCGCAAAAAAACCATTCTTCGCCACTTCCGCGGCTACACGTACTCCTGCTGCGGCCTCCTGGCCGTCGGGTCCTTCCTAGCGGCGCTAAGCGACCTGCCAAACGCCATCAACGCTGAGCGCTTGGACTTGCTCAAATGGCCTATTATCTTCGGATTAGTAGCGTTCGGGCCGCTGCTCATCTTTTTCATCTACAATATGCTGGCGGGGAACCGCTATGAAGAGCGCATGAAAAGCCGGAGCGTCTTTGAAGGGGAACGCCGGCGGGGCCTGGCAGCGGTGGACGGGGACGGACCGGTGCGGTTCGAAGGACTGCCTGCGATCGGGGCGCCGACGGAGAGTGCCGATCAGGCACTGGATACGGTGCTGCGGAATAACTGAGCTAGAACCGTGTTGCGGCAGAGAAGAATTAATTCAGAGTGTACAGAAAGAAAGAACTGGCGCGTGATTTTCATTCGACTTTGGGATCGGTTGAAAGGATTTTATGCAGCTGTACTTGATGGAAAAATTTTGGAATTATTAGTCGAGTTTCATTAGCATAATAGCATTTATATTCGTTTAGTGACCTTTGAAAGCACATGCAGTATTTTTGCACTACGTACTGTAGTTGAATAATGTTTACGGAAATGTGGATGGAATGGCCCTTGTCCGTTCATGACGTTGTCTAAAGTTGCGGTTATGAAATTTCTTATGGTCAATAATTTCTTAAGTTAAATTATTGCGTTCAGGAAAATAATTACTTATAATCATGTTTAGGATATACGAAGCACGAACACAAAGGATACAGAATTCTCCGCGCTGTTCCACATAGAAAACCGTTTCTACAGATAAAACTGGATAAAATATAAAATTAATATTGTCCTTATATACAGAGTACGGTTATACACCATACTTATGAAAACCTTACAAGTTTCTCACGTGGAGCTATGCGGAGAAATGGAGAATTTCGTGGGTTTGGTGCTGGCATGCGAGGACACATAGCAAAAATGTCGTAATACGAGAAAACTTACAAAGTCACCAGAACAGAGTATCAAGCAAAATTAGTATCGCCTTTATACGTAGAATCATTCGAGCATGCCAAGAGAATTAAGTGGCCCTTTTCTGGCACAGTTTTAAAAGGGCCAAGCGAACGCTCCTTAAAGCCAGCGCAAAAAGTATGGGATCCAGAACGCCCTGAAGAGCTAACAAAACTGTCGCGCTCTGGAATAACAGAGATAAGTTCGAGACGTCCATGACAGTGTACAGCGTCCAGTAGATTTGGCTAGGCATCCAGCAGATAAGTATACTGCCGGTCAGTAGCGTTAGGATCAGGAAAGGGTGGACGTTGTCGCCGGTTTGTTGCCTTGGGCTGGTTGCTGCTGTTACCCTCTGTTCACAAACAATGAAAAACTATAGTGCAGACTGCAGAGTATGGGATGCACAGTTGTTTGAAACACGTATAACCGAACGTCCTGTTGGAAAATACTGCTACTCCCAATTAATTTCCTTTACGTTCGACCTTTTGTTTGTGCAAATTCGATAATTACGGTAATAACGTACCGCGTTGTTCGTCTCGTTTGTGGATCCGGCAGTCCGCATCGGTGCTGTCCTTACCATGTTATTCGTTCGCCGCCGGCGAAGATATTTGTACAGAATGTAGGGATAGGAAGCAACCACCACGACAGCAGGTAAAGTAAACGCTAACTGATTAACTACAGCGGCATACAAGCCTTGCTTAGCCGTGTCTAAATAGCAACCAAACTCTGGTGTCTGTCGATAATAACAACTCATCGATGAGGAACAGAGGAAAACACACCATGTGCACATACGCCACGATGCCGGCCGACAACAGCCACGCTATCGCACTGCTGTGGCGATTGCGATACGACAGCGGAAAGGTCAACGCCCACAGGCGATTGATGGTGATAAGAAAGTGCATATGCAACTGCACACCGACAAACACCCAACTGTGGTACAGGTAGAAACTGCACACGGCGCGCGACATCCACCAGTGCCGGTACAGGGAGTGCAGAATTTCCACGGTATATTTGCCCACAGCAAAGAAGATGTTCGCGGCAAGAAGGACAAGGAGATACACGCTGAACCCCGTGCGCAGTGTTCTGTGCCGAATGAAGAAGAGTAGCATGAACATATTCAGGATGATTAGCACGATGAAGAATGTCAGCTGCAGGACGATGGAGAAACTCCACACTGCCGTCCACTGTACACTGCTCGCAACAAAAACGTTGGTCGTAATATTATGGACAGTAGCGTTCATGTTGAGATCGGCGAATTAACAGCAGCTGGCACCAAACCAAAGCGATGTAGAGATGTGCGATTCAAATCTTCTTCTTCACCTTTAAAGCCTCGAAAGGAAGGAAACCGAACACGTTTTCCAGCTCAGCGAGCATGAAATATTGCGCAGTCAGCATTAGGTTAACATGCTGGAAACGAAATACAGCTCAATTACGACCGGGAAGTTTATCAAGCGAAAGCAGATACATTCGGCATTCTCGTAGTAATTGGATTCCCAAGAAATCTGCTATAAATAAACAACCACTTACTCATGAATACCAGTCTTGAGAAAGACTGCAATCGATGCTCACCCTAGTGTCCGGCCAAGTAATGCCGTGATTGGTAAATGAAGCACGAGCACTGACGTCACGCTGGTTCAGTGCACACATTAGATATCGGATTGTGAACAATTGAAAAGACTTCCCGATTTAATTTCCTTATCTACTGTAGTAAAAATATGCACAGGTGCATCGCGTTCAGTTCTTTTTTGAATTCCTAATTAAAATCGTTTTTCAACAGCGTCCACATGCGAAAACATTTAAAACGACAGCCCATAAAACTTTCAAAACGAATCTATCAAATAAAATAACAATAAGTTATTGACGAAGATTTTCAGAAGAATGACGGCATTTTTTCCATCGCCACGATTTTTAAGAATAATTATATCCTGCAAAACGTAAAATCGTTTATCAACAGTGTCCGGATGCGATGGCGCCCCTGAGAACTTTCAGAATCCTTTACCAAAAGAAACTACTACAGTATTGTCAGGGCGGGCTTATGATTCAGCCCTTCTGTCATTGGTTGGTTTTGGGTTTTTTCCTGTCTGGGCATTTGCATGCTTTCTCACGGCCTGCAGCACAGCTGTGCTGGCTGCAGGATCCGTTATCTTGGCAGTTGGTTTTTTGGCTCGCGCGCAAAGCGCGGTGTGTGTTAGATTTCGGCATTAAAGCCTTCATCCGGGTTTGCTTTGTTCCGCCGTCGATGGTCGGTGCGCGCCTAGCCAGCGCCACTTGACAGTATAATAAAGAAGGACGGCATTTTTTCCATCGCCACGATTTTTAAGAATAATTATATCCTGCAAAACGTAAAATCGTTTATCAACAGTGTCCGGATGCGATGGCGCCCCTGAGAACTTTCAGAATCCTTTACCAAAAGAAACTACTACAGTATAATAAAGAATGACGGCATTTTTTCCATCGCCACGATTTTTAAGAATAATTATATCCTGCAAAACGTAAAATCGTTTATCAACAGTGTCCGGATGCGATGGCGCCCCTGAGAACTTTCAGAATCCTTTACCAAAAGAAACTACTACAGTATAATAAAGAAGGACGGCATTTTTTTCCCGCCTGATTTTTCAAAATATATCCTGCCGATGTATCATGTTCGACACTTTTTTATCTCCACGTTTTTCAACGGCGTGCCCCGTGAGGGCAACTTCGAAATCTTTTAAAACGAATTTATCGAAGGAAATAACAAAGGAAATTTTCCCAAAAAAAATTACGGCATATTTTCCATTGCCCGGATTTTTCAAACTGCATCCTGCCCAGATGTAAAATTGTTTTTCAACAGCGTCCGTTTGCGAGGGCAACTTTGAGAACTTTGAAACCAAACCTATCAAAGAAGACAGCAATAAAGAAGATTTCCAAACAAAAATTCGGCATTTTAAAAAAAAACTGTCAGATCGGATCCATCAAAGACAGTACCATTACGTCGTCTAATTGCAAAAATCGTGTGCTTCTGGCGTAGGGAAGAAATGGGGAATTTTCTTCCGACCAGTTCACCAGTTCAGTTTGGACTCGGCACAAAGAAAGAAGCAGAAATACAGAAATAGTTCACTGTGCCAGAGAGTTTTTGCAGACGTCGTCCACGACGCCGCGGGGATTTTTAAAGTTTGATTTTACTAACGCGTTCAACACAGTCCGCCGAGACAAACTGTTGGAGAAAGTTTTTGAGCGGATACCTGCATATTACAATATTGTTCTTTCAGCTTAAGCAGAAGCTACAACTTTGTTCTGCGTTTCCCCTAGTAGTGGTGTAACCATTCCGTCCATTAGTGGTGTGCAGCAGGGCGCCCCTTGCGCTCCTATGTATTATGGTTTATAGACGCACGATGTCTCCTCACAAAGCAATGCCGAAATAAACCTCTGGTATCTGGATGACGGTGTCTCCGCTTGCGATCCGGAAGCAGTAAGAGATACCTTCGTGAACATGCAAGGAGCAGCCGCCACTGTGGGCTTACAGTTGAACACGGCAAAGTGTGTACTGTACGACGGCGGAGCCCCAGAAGAACACGAACACCAGAACATAGTCCAGTCTTTCCTAACCGTAGCACCCGATATCTGACTGTCCAAACCGGAAGAACTAGAACTGCTGGGCTCTCCGCTGTTGAACCAAGATGTTGCGGGCGCGTTATTAAGGAAGGTCGGTCAAGCACAAGTGCTTGCCGACCAGCTCGGTATATTATTGCTTTCACATCAAGCGCTATTTTTGTTGAAGAACTGTTTGTCGCTGCCGAAATTGTTGTATCTTCTTAGAACGTCACCGTGTTGGCAATTTCCGGATGAGCTAAAGAAATTTGATGACGTCGTCCATTTGAAAGCAGAACAGCTGACCAACGTAGCAATGTCCAGCTCAGTAAGCGAGCGAGCCTCTTTACCCACGAAAATTAGTGGCCTGGGTATGATTAACGCAGCGGATGTCGCGCTAGCTGCCTACGCCTCATCTGTTCACGGTGCGACCGGAATGGTATGCAGCAGCGTCACTATAAAAGACAGGTGCAATCACCCAACAGAAGCCTGGACAAATCGGTTTTCCATGGCACCCCCGCGCACAAAAAGTCGCTGTTTCCAGTCGGTCTGGACAACACTGCAGCATACGCAGAAAACGACCCGCATGATAGATAACGCCGACGTATTCACCTCTGCTCGCCTGTTGGCTTCTCCGCCTCACCCGGACATTTGGGAGTGTGACATTTCGCCGCAATTAAATTCGTCGCACGACTTTTCGCCGCAAAGAAATTTCGCCGCGGGCCATTTTGACGATGGGACACTTCGGTTAGGGACAATTTGCATTGAGACATTTTGACTTTGCGACATTTTGACGCAAGACGTCTGGTCGCGGACGCTTCGCCGCAGAAGCGTTCGACACGCTTATTTTATGCAGGTTTTCCGGGTTTCTTGGGAGGTTTTCTTCAGTCTTTTGGGCTTCTTAAGTTGTTCTAAGGATATTCTTAGGTTGGCCCTAAGTTATTCTTAGGCTATTCTTAGGTTTCTTAGGTTATTCGTAGGTTATCCTTAGGTAATTCTTAGGTTATTCTTAGGTTAATCTTAGGTTTCCTAGGTTTCTTAGGTTATTCTTAGGTTTCTTAGGTTATTCTTAGGTTCTTAGGGTTTCCTGATGGTTCTTAGCCTTCGTATTTTTAAATGTTTTCCTGCTAAAATGGACTTTTCGTCAAAAGAGCCCGGCGGCGAAATGTCTCGGCGTCGAAACGGCTGGACGACGGATTGTCTGGCGGCGTAATGTCCTGCCGGTTAAATGTCCGGCGACGAAGCGTCGCAAGACGAGATGACCTTGCGGCGAAATGTCTGCGACCAAAAGTCCTGCGACGAGTTGTCGGCGGCGAAATATCGCGGTGTCCTTCTCCGCACCGGAGTCGCGTGCATGGTTATCTCCCTTACCAGTTTCTATTTTCTCGATTTACTGGAAGACACACACTTGCGCATCGGCGTTGCGCGACGGTTGGGAGCTCCTGTCTGCCGGTGCGGTAGTATTGTAGACAGTCTAGGACACCATGGGCTGGTGTGCAAGTTAGCGAAAGCAAGACAAAGTGTGCACGCTGTCTTGACGAAGCGACTACACGGGCTTTGAGTTCGGCAAAAGTGCCATCGTCACTCAAGCCGGCGGGCTTGGAGAGAGGCGATGGAAAGCGGCCCGACGGTGTGACAGCTTTTTCTTGGAAAGATGGAAAGCCGCTGTTGTGGGATGTAACCGTGGCGGACACATTTGCAAAAACCATCGCACAGACGTCCAGAGAGCTGGGTAGCGCAGAGAAAATACGGGAAAACCGTAAGCTTGGAAAGTATGGAAGGCTGGCAGACCGTTAAATCGTTCAACCGCTAACGTTCGAAACTACGGGTATATTCGGACCACTGTCGAAGAAGTTTTTCAAAGAGCTGTCGAGAAAGATCATCTACAGTACAGGCAGTTTCCGCTTAGAAGGAGTTTTACCCCAAAGAAATGGTACTGAGATTCAATGCAAGTTCTGTTCTCGGTACGTTAAACGATATGATAGAGAAGAAAGATGTGTGCTTTGCCTCTCATTTGGCTGAACGGAAATGATGTTATGATTTTGTTGTTAATTGATACTATTGTATTAATTTTCCAGCATGATTCTCTGATAAATACATTGCTTATATAACATTAATGCGCCGTTTGCATTTCCGGGCTGCTATGGAAACGTTTAAACTGAGCATATCAAAAAAAGGAGAATAAAGATTTTAAAAGATGGCGGCATTTTTTCTCACATTATGTGTTGAAAATATATCCTGCCAGATGAATAATTTTTCGATTCCCACCTTTTGTTAGCGGCGACCGCACGTTCGGTCATCAACAACAAGTTTCAGATCAAAAATGACGATCGTTAAAAAAATTACTGCATTTTTTTACATGCTGTTTTGCAAATATATCTTGCCAGATGAATACTATTTTGATTTCTACATTTTTTAAAATTAGATCAACCGCCCGGGACCCTACAAAAAGTATCAGAATGAATCCATTAAAGAAAATTAAAAAAATAAATATTAATAAAAAGACGGCATCTTTCTCACATGCTGTTTAAAAAATATATTACGCTAGATGTACCGTTTCTCTTTTTTTGATTTCCGCGTCTTGCTAACGCCGTCCGGATGTATATCCTGCCTGATGAACACCTTTTCGATTTCCACGTTTTGTTATCAGCATTCGCACCTTCGGTCATCTGCG